TTATTATCGATACAGAGGCTGAATCTATAGTTTTTTTGAATTTTTGTCTGTCTGTCTGTCTGTCTGTCTGTCTGTCTGTCTGTCTGTCTGTCTGTCTGTCTGTCTGTCTGTCTGTCGGTCTGTCTGTCTGTCTGTCTGTCTGTCTGTCTGTCTGTCTGTCTGTTACCGCATCACAGAAAAACCGCTGGAGGGATTTTGATGAAATTTGGTACGATGATAGCTGGTTATCCGGGTCAACATATAGAATACTTTTTACCGCGGGAAAATATCTCATTTAAGAGAAAAAATATAAAAACGCAATGTAAGAGTATACAAATATGTAAAACGTCATCTGAACGCGGGCGGAACCGCGTGCAATGCTAGTCTCATATATGTATGAACTTTATGCACTCAATTAATTATATATAAGAAGTATTATAAATAGTGAGTATCATTAATATTATTTGGTAGTTTAAATAGTACTATAAAAATCTGAGCTAAATTAGAAATATTGACATTGCCAACAATGGCAATGTCAGGCTCAGTTAAGATGTAAAGTACTTGAACAGAACAATAAGTGAAGCTTTTATTAAGAAAATTCTCCTAAACGTAATTAAAAGTCTTCAGAATTTGTTGTTGAAATAAACCAAAAAATATACACAAAAAAATAGAAAGATTTTCTTTTTTGAGCTATTTTGTAGTGGTTAAATTTTTGCTATTTTAAATATATGGAAGTTATGGCACAGCGTTAAAGTGGCAAGAAAATTAGGACAATACATACTATAATATGACAATATTTCGCCTTAGCCACAATTTTGTTAGAGCCCTTAATTATCCCAAGTATTAGTATATAAACTCGACAACGATACAATTAACTGAAATGAAGGAAAAAATATTTTACTAATAAATCTCATGAAGATTAATATAATAATACTGGCTTACTAAATGAAACAAAAGGTAGAAAAAAAGATTTTTTTTCTTATTTAGCTTTTGGTAAACGTTTATTTAAATTGTTATCTATACTAATAATATAAAAGAGGTAAAGTTTGTGAGTTTGTGGCGTTTTAGGGTGTAATCTCTGGATCTACTGAACCGATTTAGATTAAATTTGGTAAGAAAATAGTTTGAGACCCTGGGAAGGACATGGGACTTTTTATCCCGGATATCATCCTTTAAGGGGGTGAAGATGGGGATGAAAGTTTGTTTTGGCAAGCAAGCTAGGGACAAACCCGAGCGATGCGAGGGTGAGTTGCTAGTAATGAAATAAGCGTGTCAAAGGATATCTTGTCATATTTTTTGATTTAATGTATTGTTTTCTTCTAGTCAGTATGTGATATGAAAGCAGAACCTATATATAGACCTAGGTATAGATTGTATTATATCTATACATATTATAGTAAAATTGTAACCAACCCTAATCTGTAAAGTAAATATTTTTTTGAAAATCTTATTGAAATAAACAATATTATCATTAAAGAGGCAGAATCTGTAGTTTTTAGAATTTTTGTCTGTCTTTCTGTCTGTCTGTCTCCGCATCACGGGAAAACCACTTAATAGATTTTGATGAAATTTGGTATGATGGTAGCTGGTTATCCGGGTCAACACATAGGGTACTTTTTACCGCGGGACAATATCTCATTTCTGAGAAAAAATACAAAAACTGCAATGTAAGAGTATACTAATATGTAAAACCTAAGAATTTGGTTTTTGGTCATCTGAACGCGGGCGGAGCCGCGGGCAATGCTTGTTCGTATATATAGATCGTTATTGTCACAACTTACAAGTTACTAATCTTGTGAATCTTAAGTTAACGGTAATTGTGCCAATAATCGTATCAGTAACATTCTAATAGCAGAAAGCCTCGACAAACATCTCAAGGGCTTTCGCTTAGGTTTTGGATCAAGAGCCGGATGTAGAGTACCATATTACGTGACGTGACATATTGAGAAGATATTGTTCAGTCTAATACTGGTTGTAAGTAGTAAAAGGATTTTATTATACACGATGTGTCCCAAAATTCAATGATAAGCGGGCACCAAAGGGTGGACCTGCTCATGACTACTCGAGAAAAAAAGAAAAAAAAGTTATCTCAATTTTTTTTGAAATTACAAATTTTTTTTGAAATCCTTTGAAAATTGACACCCCTTAAGATATGTTTAACTATCATGACCACAATTTTTTAAATATTTCTGTTTTTTTTTGTATCGGAAACCTAAGTAGCACTGCTATCCACCACAATCCTTATAAATACCAAAATACCTGTAGTCTTTTACACAAAAATTAATCAAAATTATTTTTTTTCCCTAAAAAATTTTTTTTTTTGGAAATAATATATGTATGTAGGTATATTTATATCGTAGTATATAGATGCTCTCTTTTTTGTCTCGTTGCGGAATTTTACTATGGCTTAACTCAACGCTCTATCTCCCTCATTTCCATGTACGTATGTCCTATCTCCATCAAACTCAATTATCCTGGCTGCCTAATACTGGCCCTGCTATTGCTTAGTCTGCATTTAATAGCTATTAATTTAAAAACTTTATATTATTATGTCAAAAATAACTTTATAGAAGTAAAAGATTTTTATATTATTGTTCTAATTAAAATAAAGAACACATGGATAAATTTGAATTATTACATCTTTTACATCAGAGTAATTTTTACTTATGAAATACTGGCAGAACCCGCAGCTTCGCTCGCGCTAAAACTACAAAAAAATCTTTAAGAAGGTAGGTTTCATACAAACTTTCATGCCCTATTATACCCCCTTATGAAGAACATTAATACTAAGTTTTAAAGTAATTCTGATAACAATTATTTTTTGGGTTGTAGTATAACGTGGGAATGAGATAATCTCCCGCAGTAAAATGTATGTCACTCTCCAGTCCTCCAACTATCTCCACACAAAAAATCACACCAATTCGGTGAAAAAAAAATGTTATTCGGTTTCGACGTGAAAGAAGGAGAAACAAACAAACAAACACACTGTCACATTTATAATATAAAAAAATAATATTAGTATGGATACATACATCGTAGTGATTTATAGCTTGTGTTGTAAAATGTACAATTTCTATAATCCTACAGGTATGAAATTATAAAGCTTAGCTTATATAGCTATTATAATGCTATGGTTCATTGGCTCGTATGCTCGTATTATACTAACATGGAGGAACGATCATGGTTTGATATAAGTAAAACTACCAATACGCTGCACACAGTCTGTGTCAGCTTATTTACTGTACAATCGAGTTTACTTATTTTTAACAAGTACCAAGTATATCCGACACACAATTTCTCCCAACTTATCGTTTCTATATTACGGTTTAATGTGCAGGATTCAGAAGCGTTTAATGTGTTGATGTTCATACTGACACATATAAATAAATAATAAAACTTTATTAGCAATAAGTTTTTACACTAAATTTACACTAAGCGCAAAATAAAGCTTATTAGAATTTATGTTACTTACATCGGTTTGTCACTGCCGACTGTATCAGGCCGTGCCTGTATTACAGATGACAGTTCCTTCCTCTATGACATAAAAGAATTATCACTAAATTATCATAAGACATTATCACTTATATATTTAACTAAAAAACCACACAATAATAAAATGACATATTTTTATTCGTTTAGTATATGTATGCATAGTGCATACGTCGACTTTTTAGGTGAAGGAGGCTTATCGGGAACACAGTTATGACTTTTAGGAACATTTGATGCAATAATTATTGAGAAACACCCAATTTATATCTAAAATTCATTTGTCTCATACATTAATGTACACACAAATTTTAATATAATAATATTTTTAATTTCAGTTCATCATTGTTCAAATAAGACTTGTAACATTCTAACTAGGTACTTCTAAATACGAATAACAGACACTGGCAGAGTAAAGGCGAATAGACAATGGTGTGATAAAATTGATTTTGATAATTGAGAGGAAGATTTCTGATCGACACAGAACTATATTATTTATGAACAGAACCTAATTATATAAGCTTTGTAAATTTGATTTGTAGATGTATTAAAATTAATATCCATTGTAATACTTATGAAAGTAAAATGTTAAAAAATAACATTTTTTGCTAACTTACAAGACTAAAATGTTAAAAACTAAAGTTAATTGAAAAGCTCGAACTTAAAGTTCGCTTAGTAATTGCAAAAACTGTTCTAAAAACTTTTAACCACTTTTTACTGGAATATCAATCATGCTCACGAATTGTCGTAAGATTGAACTTCGTTTTTTATTATTTGACTTCAAGTAGTTTAGTTTCTAACTAAATCTATTCCTGGGGTATTTCTCCGAGATTGCGTTGAAACATACAAAACATGAATATATTATTTGGCATGTCTTTAATCATAAGAGTATGTTGAATAGAGCCAAAAATGAAAATAATTTTTGGCCAGATAAATCAGACGAAGAACGCAATCTCGGAGAAATACCCACTGCCACTCATGAAAAATAATACTACTCTATACAAAGTATTTATATAAGGGGTCTCCAAGGTCTCTTTTTCCATTAAACTACGGATTATTTTACTGTTTTCAGTAGAACTAAATTTTTAATTTTGCCATTTTTTTTAATTATTACTTCACCAATTTTAAGCAAGTACATATACGAGTATTAAGGTTTTCTTTTGTACTAGTTTTTACATAGAATACTATCCGTGAGATAATTGTATAGGACAAAATTGCGTTGGAAATTTATAAAACAAAACCTATCAGTGAGACCAAATCATTACTTAGGGCTTATGCACACAACGAGTTTTTAACGCGCTGTAGATGCGCATATCATGAACGCGCATCATCTGCGTGTGCTAGGTACAATGTGCACTGTGCAAATTTTACACAATAAAAATAAATACCTTTTCTAAATCTTGGCTCTAAGTAAGAATAGAGCAGTAAATTGGGATCAAACTTTAGAACAATAAAATCAAATATTACATGAAGAAATTTTATTAACTATTGTATCACATTTCAGTTAAGTTTATTGTGTAAAAATTGTGACTTTAATGACCGTATTTATCCAGGAATTCTTTCAGAGGCGCGTCGTGTTTTCCTTCAGGGTTGTGTAGTTTGTTGAGTTCTGTCCATTCCTCGGGCAGCTTTTCAGTAATGCTGTTCATCACTTTGGCGATGAGGGTCTTTTGTTTTTCAGAGCACTTGCCGCATTTAGTTTGCACTGCGTCCGGAATCCATTCTATAATCCATTAAGTTTAATTATAATATTTGAAATATAATGAAAAAATGAAAAATGATATTTTTTAATATAAATTTACTTAATTATTTAATAAAGAGTTATTTCTCTTCAAGATTCTCTTTAAGAGATACTTTTATTTTATTAAAAAAAAATTTAAGACTGACAAATGAATCGCGGTTTTGTCCAGGACGATTAAACCCTAACGATTAAGCCTAAGAATACGAAATTATAATAAAAATGTCACGCAAGCCGCTGATTGAACTCTTGTGGCAATTACACCATGCCTTTACCATCATAGTGCCTTTGTATATTACAAAATTATATATTTATAGTCTATACATAAAAGAAAATTCTAACTGACTCGAATGTATACATAAAATATTTTTTGGAAAATCTTATTGAAATAGTCATTATTATCGATACAGAGGCCAAATCTATAGTTTTTAGAATTTTTGTCTGTCTGGGAACGCTTCATTAGAAAACCATTGGACAGATTTTAATGAAATTTGGTTAGATGATAGCTTGTTATTCGGGTTAATATATAGCATACTTTTTACTGTGGAAAAATATCTCATCTCTATATATATATATATATATATATATATATATATATATATATATCGTAAAACCGTACTTAATGTGTATACTTTCTATATTTAAAAAAAAATAGAAATTTGTATACTTCAGAGTTTTGTTTTCGAATTTTGTAAGTAATAAAATAAATAATTTTTGGTTTGTCACAATCTTTTACGAAAAAATAATCTCGCTTATTACAAGACCGTTCATTTGAGTAATTATTCAAGTTAAATTTATAATTATAATAAAAGATTATTTAAATAAAAATGAGTAGTTTTTTCAAGATAAATAATGCGCTTACTTTTGAAGTCGTTGCCTTCTGGTGTGCACTTTCCTTTCTCGAGGAAGCAATGTGCATAGTTTTTCAGAAGACGTAAGTTACCGATCAGTTCATCTACGTCGAAGCCGTCGTAACGGCTGTAGTCGTCATCAGGGCGTGCAGCGGCGAAAGTGACCAAGGCAAAGATGATAAGGAGTTTCATGTCTGAATTTAAAAGTCTAAAAGAAAGAGTATGGTTAAAGTACATACCGAAGTATTTTTTATTATAAAATTCTATAAGAATAACCATGTTTATATAGATGATAGAAATGATAGATTTTCTATTAAAGAAGAATTATGAAAATTTATACACAATTGGCAAAGATATAATAGGCGTAATAAACACCCAAAAAAACCCGAATGGAAGTACTTCTTCCATTTTAAAGTCATTTAAAAATCTAAATTCGAAACAAAATTAAGTTTTTTTTTATCATTGATCTTATTAAAAATACAGTAAGGACTCCTAGTTCTAGTGGTTGTAGACTAAATGAAAAAAATAAAATAAAAGTGGGTAGTAGCTACATAATTAATTTCATAATTTGAAGAAAAACTAAAGTATAAATAACTTTTTCTTAAAATATGACTAATATGTACTAAAGTAATAAAACAATAAAAAATCGAAAAGATGATGATTTCATTAAAAACTAGCGAATTAGGAAAACAAAAACAAATCAATACCACGGGAACCGTACATTTTTCCGGGATAAAAATAGCCTATGTGTTATTCCAGGATATAATCTATCTCTGTGCCAATTTTCATCTAGATCGGCTCAGTAGTTTTGGCTTGAAAGAGTAACAAACATCCATACCCACAAACATTTATAATATTAATACGGGCGTCAAATATTTGCGTAAATCTAAGAAAGTATCATATATAGTAGGTATATATTATATAGGTAAATTACAGACCATGACTTACCTGTATAAAGTTTTAAAATATACAAGTAAAAAATTTGAAGTAAAAATTCACAATATTTAAAACATGAGTGGACAATAAACATTTAAAATAAAAAGACCTTTAAATCTGATATGATATGTTGGAAACCTTCAAAAATTATTTAAATAAATAAGCAGGCTAAAATATACCGCAATATTTTTTTTAAATATGCTTGATTATATAGAGATCTGTCCTGAATTCGGCCGAATGGTTTAATCAACTAATAATTTCCGTAAATAAAAAAAAATACTTTTAGTGAAGAGCCTAATAGTAAGTTTCTAGTACAGGTTAGAAATGCAATCATTTTGCATTTAATACTATATTTTGTATTCAATTTATTCGAATAACACTAAAAATAAAACACAGCAACACCCACCTTTACTGAAACAAACTTGATTCAATATGATATGTAGTGTTACTTCAAAATGCTTATATATTAGCTCCATGATCAAGTCCTTGAGTCATAGCGCATACGTACGAGTAATCACGACTGTGCAAAAAAGGTAATAAAAAAAACAAATTTTGAGAAGTTTTTTCTGAGCTTGTCACTAATTTTGTCAATTTATTAATTCTCGTAACTCATTAGTGCTGCAGGAAAAATATTTTCATATAATTATTGTTCATAAGATCTTTGTACTTGGATAGATGATGAGTAAATTTTCCTACCATATTCTACATGCTTCATTTCCTCTTACATTTTGTACATACTGTCAATATTCAAAGATATATTGTTACAATAATAATTATTTTTACTATATTAAAGTGAATAAATTGCATATAAATATATCTATATAACTAGCGGTTTACCCTCGCTTCGCTCGGGGTTGCCTCTAGAACAACAAAAACAAATCTATCCCACGGTAACCATGAATTTTTCCGGGATAAAAAGTATATAATAAAGATAAGATAGCTTATGTGTTATTCCCTACGAATAAATAATAAGTTTTATTTATTCGTAGGCTATTCCAGACCATAATCTACCTTTATGCCAAACCTTCAGATCCGTTCAGCCGTTCTTGCGTGATTAACAAACATCCAAAAATCCATCTAAACTTTTATAATATTAGAATATAACTGAACTAAACAGTTAATAAGATATAACTAACTTAATAAGATATAATTGACTTCTAAATGTATTAAATTAACATTTATTACATTTAGAGGTAAATAATTTTATTACATTTTATTTTTTCTGTTATTTAATTTCCTATATTTATAAATATAATATTAGTTAATATTAGACTTTATTGCCCATCACAAATCAAACACAAACAAAAAAAATCAATATTTGTTATCTCGTCTCACTATATTAATTTGTGTGTTAAACATACATAGAGGCGAACCCGAGCGAAGCGAAGAAAAAATCGGAAATGAAATCGGACCAATAGCTTCGAAGGTTGGCTTCAAACAATTAAAAAAAAAAACAAATTCTTATGAATAAGTTTAGAAAAGAAAAATAGAAGATTCCAGCTATATAGTAGGCGAAAGTTCTAACTTTCTAGTCTTTTTTTATAGAACAATATACCTACGCTTCTGCTCGAATCTCGTGGAGTTTTTCCTTTGAGCACGTCGGAATTAAATAACATCTGAAAGACCCTCAGGATCGGTTCTCCACCCGCCTTCCACATTCATCCCTTACCTCAGTAGTAATTTCCGCTGCACCCGTTGTTTTGTTCATTAGAGATCTTTTTGGGTCTATTTAGAGTGTTTTTAGGCACTTAGATCCAAGTGATGGGAAAGCTATGATGAATCTATCGTTATAAACAACCACATCGCTATTTAGGCAATCAAAGTAGTTTTGGGATAGTTTTGAAGTTCCAGCTGAAAGTTTTCGGGGTTCTGGATTTGACATAAAATGACATAATCACAACTTGATACACTCTGGAGACGGAAGCCATACAAAGTTAGTTTATTGATAGAGAAAGTGTGTAGTGTTACACAAATGATTCTTTTTTTAACCCCCGACGTATAATCGACGAGGTGTTATAAAGACGTGTCTGTGTGTCTGTCTCTGGCATCGTAGCTCCCGAACGGATGAACTGATTTTGATTTCGTTTATTTTTGTTTGAAAGGTGAATTAGTAGGGAGTATTCTTAGCTATGTTTGAGGAAAATCGGTCCAAGATGGCCGCCGCCACAAAATGGCGGATTACATATTTTTTCACAACTCTCTCAATATGGGTATCAAATGAAAGGGCTCAACTAGTAGAATACTATGCACTATGATAAATTTCAAATCCAAGATGGCCGCCACCACAAAATGGCGAATTAAATGTCTGGGGTTATTTAGATTTTTAATTTATTTATTGTAATTTATATATTTATGTACCAGAAAAAAAAACATACAAGTGAAAACAGATACCATGTGATAAGGATGACTTATCTCTTTAAGAGATCTCTACCAGAAACCCTCAAGCGTGAGAAAATATAAAAATAATAATGCGGTGCGGTGTAGGTACAAACTACAAACACATTTAATTTGTATTCTGGTTATTAGGAATATATCATCATCCTTATAATTCCTAAATTAAAATGAACCCATTACAATCCATCAAGTATTAAACCAATACCTAAGTACTTTTAAGTGATTTCGAATCGGTTTATCTTTTATATTTATAAAGTAATTCATATGTGATATGTAAGTTAACAGATGGACAGACGGAAAACAAGCAATAATTATAAAAAAAAACTTTTAGAATATTTTCAATAATGTCTTTAATTAAAACTTTCTTATATAAAAATTAATATAAAGCCTTGGATCCTTTTAGAAAACATAAAAATAGACAGTTACTTTGAAATATTTAATTAGAATCTATATAATAGGCACTAGACGAATTTAGATACATCAGTAATATGATGAATATATATATATAGATGAAGGTAAGAAGCTACCTATTTAACTTTTACTTAAAAAAAAACAAACGTGTAAACTTGAATTATGCTTGATTTTCGACCATGGAGCAATCACTGATATAATTTAATATTGTAATTAAATGTTTCCTTCGAGGTTGGGTGGTTTCTTGAGTTTCTCTTAATTCTCTGGAAGCATCTCAATAATGGCTTTTATAACTTTGACGACGGGAACCTTTTGTGTCTTGGAGAGTTAATGCCACAGATGGATTGCCCCGAGGCATGGATCCACTCTGTAATAAATATAAAATACATATGTATTTCAGTTATATTAATACCTGAATCATTATTGTGAGTTTAATATTAATAACTTTTGACTAAAAACGACTAGACCGATTGACTAGAAATAACCTTGAAAATAATTATTCCACCCTTGAGAGTGGTTACATTATAGTTTTATTGTTGAAATTTACCGGAGATAAATCCGATTCATTAAAGGCCCGTGGTAAAGACAAGGTTGCCCCTGACATTAGTGCGTGAACAATGCATCGTGTAGTTTTAGAAACGGGAAGTGCGGAACGGCGAGATAAGAGCTGCGGAACGCTGGACGACCGACCGGCAGAACGACAATGCATCGTATATTATATTGTCGGGTTAGCTCTGTATAGAGTAGTACCTAATTAAGTACAATCCACTCTTTAACTTAGTCTCTATAGGGTAGTCTGTTTTCCCTATCACGAAGTGTACCGGCACTATCCCCACCAACCCATTATATTTCATTATATCCCAGCATCAGCATCAGCAGTTATAAAGGTTAATCTACGAGTATACTAATATTATAAAGAGGCTGAGTTGGTTTATTTGAACGCGCTAATCTCAGGAACTACTAAATGTACTTGAAAAATGCTTTTTGCATCAGATAGCCCGTTTATTGACGAAGGCTATATATAACATATAATTTATACTCTAATTATTCCATATTGACCGTTAAAACGTACCTAGAAAGGAACCCGAGCGAAGCGACGGTAAGTCACTAGTTCATAATAAAGTTAGAAATGATAGACGTAGAAGCCATTGAATATAAGAATTGAATTGAAGATAATTAAGATATGACGGAAATAATAAATACAAAAATACACTCAAATGTTTATTTTGAACCACTTCCTTTTTGTAGTTGGTTAATAACACATAGCTTCACGTAATCGGATTAGTTTTTTCATCTTTCTTTTGTGATAGAGTAAATATTGTGATTTCCGAATCTATTTTTCGCTGTGCTAACGTTCGTGTTTAGAGATTTAATTTGTTGGTAGTATGTAGGTACTTTTTAACCGACTTCCTAAAAGGAGGAGGTTCTCAATTTGTCGGAATCTTACTTTT